ACATGTACCTCTGAGGTGTAGTACAGTATAAAGTACAACATGTACCTCTGAGGTGTAGTACAGTATAAAGTACAACATGTACCTCTGAGGTGTAGTACAGTGTAAAGTACTATATGTACCTCTGAGGTGTAGTACTGTGTACTGGTTCATTGGGTACATTCATTAAATACTTATTCATGTTATCAGATATTCATCATATTCATAAATCTTAACTGGTTCTTTAATCATCGCAGTAGTTCTGAGGAAGACAACAAATACACAAATACACACATTTAGTACTTTTATTGAGACCAAAACCATAATCCAATACAAAAACAGAAGGTACTTCATGAAATACAGCTTCCGTCTTTAAAGCAGTAGAAGTACACGTTTACAATGTGAAGTACTGATCATTTCAATCAATATGAATCATGTGATGAACACATGTATTATAATAACAGAGTAGAGTCACTGTGATCTGCTCAACAACTGGTTCATTGCACAGAGAAAGTTTCTGTGTACTCAAAGTACACGAGTACACAGTTCCACATGAAGAACTCCTTCAACAGAAGATGATGCAGCACTGAACTGCTTCTGATGTTCATATTTATGTTCTTTAATGTCACAAAGAGCTCAGGAGGAAACTGATCACGAGCATTATTAGTGTGAGCAGACTTATTAACTCATCTTTGTTAGATTATTAACATTTCACCGCATGTTCTGATGGTTCAGACACCCTCAGACCTACAGAGACACTGAGGAACCGAAACCAGACCTGAACGAGAACCCAAAGCCAGGATACAGAGGTTCAGTGAATGTGGTGTTGAAGGTGTGGAGGTGGATCAGTGTGTCAGAGGAGACTCTGTAGAAGGACAGAGAGCCAGCAGGATAGTCCACATACACTGCTACTCTACCAGAGGAGGAGGAGGAGAAGAAGGAGAAGAAGAAGAAGGAGGAGGAGGAGGAGAAGGAGGAGGTGGGTGTTCTTGTATTATTGTGATAGACAGAGTAACCAACATCAGAGCACCACAGACTCCAGGACTGATCATTCATTCCAAACCTACAGTCTCCACTGCCTCCTCTCCTTCTGATTCCTCTGTAACTCACTGATATATAAACACTTCCTCTCCACTCGACCTCCCAGTAACAGCGACCAGTCAGACCAGTTCTACACAGCAGCTGCTGACAGACATCAAACCTGTCTGGATGATCAGGATATGACTGAACCTCCTCCACACGTGTCACCTTCCTGTTGTTGTCAGACAGTTTGAGGTTTCTGTTCACTGTGTTTGTGTCGAGTGCGAGTTCACAGGAATCTGACGGAGAGAACAAGACACAATACAGCTGCAGTGATTCATCTATCATCTGTTTGATGATGACATCAGAGATGTGAATGAGTGATGTCACAGTTTGAAGATGCTTTGTTTTCATGGATCAATCTAAATAAACACTTACATTTCCTCAGACCTGGTCTCAACCATCGGTCTCCAGCAGGCTCCACCCTGATGGGAGTATGGAGGTCAGACAGCAGCCTCAGTCCTGGACCATTGTAGCTCAGGTCCAGCTCTCTCAGATGGGAGGGGTTGGATCTCAGAGCTGAGTCCAGAGAAACACAGCCTTCCTCTGTGACCAGACAGCCTGACAGCCTGCAAACCACATACAGAAGAACCCTCTGTGAACATGTGGCGGTACGTTCTGGTACATCTTTAGTTCAGATACAAGTTTAGGATCAACCTGGAACATCCTGCTGGAAGGTAATTCTGAGTCTAGAGCAGGGGGGCAATTATTGTTCCCAAGGGGCCGCATGAGGAACAGGGCCTGTTGTGGAGGGCCGGACCAACAGACTGAACTCAGTCCTGCTCAGAGTCCACCAAACACTCTCTGATAAACTCCCCATCAGAGAATGGCTCACTGGTTTTTGCAATTGTGTGTGACGTCACAAAGCTGGTGTTGGTGGCTGCATCCCTGGATGTGTGAAGCTTGGTAAAAAGGCCTTGTTGCTTTAGCAGCTTAGCGAGCAAAGCCTCAGACGTCCGTGTCCGCTCTGCATCACTCAATGTTTCGTATTTCTCCGCGTGTTTCTTCTCGTAATGACGATTCAAATTGTAATCCTTCAACACTGCGACTTGTTCTCCACAAACTAAGCACACGGCTTTACCTTTGACTCCAGTAAAAAACACTTTAAACTTTAAACTTTTTTTTTTATTATTTAGTTAAAGGTCCTTTGACACATTCCTACGCAGGTCTGCAGTTCATCATCTTATGTAAATCTGATTTGAAATAGTCATATAATATAATGGTAATAAAACAGTTGAATGGGTGAATTAATCCTGACCTGAGAGTCTTCAGTTGACAGTGTGGACTCTCCAGTCCAGCAGACAGCAGCTTCACTCCTGAATCCTGCAGGTCGTTGTTACTCAGGTCCAGGTCTCTCAGACTAGAGGACTGGCAGCTGAGGACTGAGGACAGAGCTTCACAGCTTCTCTCTGAGAGGTTGCAGTGTCTCAGACTGAAGGAAATAATGACAACTATGTTAAAATGTTTGCTAAGCAGCTGCATTTTTCAACCCGATTCCTATTTGTTTTCCATGTTATAGTGTCTTGAGTGACTAACGGGGACAACAGTTCCTGAACTTGGTCAAGTATTGAGGGAGAACGCTAAGAAGTAAAACGTTATTCTTACCTTTCTCATTCCGTTTATTAATGTTTCATGTGACTTGTTGCCAAAGTTGGAGAGAGGAGTGCCATTGGACACCGTTTTAGTCAGATTTAGTTGTGTAGGAGTACAGAAAGTGTAGCTGAATATGTCAGTTACTTGTAACAACAATCTGAGCCTGTCTGTGGCAACAACAAGCTCTTTTCGTGGACGTACGTTGACGTTGAGGAGTTGCCCCGAGCGATTACATTGCAGACCGTTTAGCGGCTGCCGTGTGCAGCGTCCTCCCTCAATACTGGACTAACTTGTCCCAATTAGTCACTTAGACACAAGGACAAAGGTCCAAGTTACCCTCTAAAGTTAAGAGAGATGTCCCAAATCATTTGAGACAAAGCGTAACATGATCTGACCTCAGAGTCTTCAGTTGACAGTGTGGACTCTCCAGAACAGCAGACAGCAGCTTCACTCCTGAATCCTGCAGGTCGTTGTTACTCAGGTCCAGGTCTCTCAGACTAGAGGACTGGGAGCTGAGAACTGAGGACAGAGCGTCACAGCTTCTCTCTGAGAGGTTGCAGCTACTCAGTCTGAAGAAGCAACAGAAAACAAGTAATACGTTATCACTCTCTGTTTGATCCACTACCATCAGGATGGAGATACAGGACCATCAAAACCCGGACTAACAGGCTGAGGAACAGCTTCTTCCCCAGAGCGGTTTCCTCCATCACCCCCCACCCCCCACCCCACCCAGCTCACACCGCACAGTGCTGCGGTGAAACAAATATAGTCAATAACACGTCACTTTAACTAAGCACATTTTTCACTTTGAAGCCATTGATGAATGTGCTTTATCTTGTATATATTTATTTAATGTCTTGTCTTAATGTTTTTATACATTTTCCCCCTTAACGGGATAAATATAATATAATAAAATAAAAAAAATAAAAAATAGTCTCTCCTGTTGAAATATAGTCTTCATTGATTATTAAAGCGTACTTACAGAGCTTTGTTGGAGGCTTTGACCACTGGCAGCAGCCTCAGAAGAGCCTCCTCTGAAGCAGAGTATTTCTTCAGGTCAAACACGTCCAGATCCTTTTCTGATGACAGTAAGATGAAGACCAGAGCTGACCACTGAGCAGGAGACAGTTTATCTGTGGAGAGACGTCCTGACCTCAGGTACCGTTGGATCTCCTCCACTAGAGAACCATCATTCAGTTCATTCAGACAGTGGAACAGATTGATGCTTTTCTCTGGAGACACATTCTTATTGATCTTCTTCTTGATGTACTGGACTGTTTCCTGATTGGTCTGTGAGCTACTTCCTGTCTGTGTCAGCAGACCTCGTAGGAGTTTCTGATTGGTCTGCAGAGAAAGACCCAGGAGGAAGCGGAGGAACAAGTCCAGGTGTCCATTTGGACTCTGTAAGGCCTTGTCCACAGCATTCTGGTAGAGACGTGTTAGTTCAGGTTTGTCTCTAGAGGCTTCAGACAACCGAGAGGTTGTTTGTTCTTCTGACAGCAGATTGACTCCAGAGTTGATGAAGGTCAGATGGACATGAAGAGCAGCCAGAAACTCCTGAACACTCAGATGGACGAAGCAGAACACCTTGTCCTGGTACAGTCCTCTCTCCTCTCTAAAGACCTGTGTGAACACTCCTGAGTACACTGAGGCTGCTCTGATGTCGATGCCACACTCTGTCAGGTCGGATTCATAGAAGATCAGGTTCCCTTTCTGCAGCTGATCAAAAGCCAGTTTTCCCAGAGACTCGGTCATCTTCCTGCTCTCTGGACTCCAGTGTGGATCTGTCGCAGCTCCTCCATCATACTTGACCTTCTTCAGTTTGGACTGAACCACCAGGAAGTGGATGTACATCTCAGTCAGGGTTTTGGGCAGCTCTCCTCCCTCTCTGATCTTCAACACATCCTCCAGAACTGTAGCAGTGATCCAGCAGAAGACTGGGATGTGGCACATGATGTGGAGGCTTCGTGAGGTCTTGATGTGGGAGATGATCCTGCTGGCCTGCTCCTCATCTCTGAATCTCTTCCTGAAGTACTCCTCCTTCTGTGGGTCAGTGAACCCTCTGACCTCTGTCACCATGCCAACACACTCAGGAGGGATCTGATTGGCTGCTGCAGGTCGTGTGGTTATCCAGAGGCGAGCAGAGGGAAGCAGTTTCCCCCTGAAGAGGTTTGTCAGCAGCACATCCACTGAGGTGGACTCTGTAACATCAGTCAGGACCTCATTGTTGGTGAAGTCCAGAGGAAGTCGACACTCATCCAGACCGTCAAAGATGAACAGAACCAGGAACTCTTCAAACCTGCAGATTCCTGCTTCTTTGGTTTCACTGAAGAAGTGATGAACAAGTTCCACCAAGCTGAACTGTTTCTCTTTCAGCACATTCAGCTCTCTGAAAGTGAATGGAAATGTGAACTGTATGTCCTGGTGGTCTTTGTCTTCAGCCCAGTCCAGAGTGAACTTCTGTGTTAAGACTGTTTTGCCAATGCCAGCCACTCCCTTTGTCATCACTGCTCTGATTGGTTCCTCTCCTCCAGGTGAGGCTTTAAAGAGGTCTTCTTGTCTGATGGTTGTTTCTGGTCTGTGTGGTTTCCTGGATGCTGTTTCAATCTGTCTGACCTCATGTTCATCATTGACCTCTGCAGTCCCTCCCTCTGTGATGTAGAGCTCTGTGTAGATCTGATTCAGGAGGGTTGGGTTTCCTGCTTTAGCAATCCCCTCAAACACACACTGGAACTTCTTCTTCAGGTGAGATTTGAGTTCAGGCTGACAAACTGCAGCAAGAAGTCCTGAATGAACACACAACAAAGAAGATCAATGAGTCAAAGAATAGATTTCAACATGTCATTTCCTCAAAGAATGAGTCTATGAATATATGTTGGTCCATCTCTTGAGACATCAGTAAACGTCACATTTATCCAGCATGTTAAATCTTTAGAGAAATCCTCTTACTGCTCTGCAGACAGTCAGCCAGCTCCTCCTGCTTCATTCTCCTCAGGAAGTGCAGTGTGATCTTCTCAAATGCCTCTCTGCTGCTCCTCCTCTGCTCTTCATCCTCACCGTCCAGCACCTCCTCATCCTCCCTCTGACTCTCTAAGCATTCTGGGTAATCTG